TAAAACAAATCACAAAAGGAAAGTTGTTTTAGTGCTCCTCTTTGAGTTAGTGAGATTTAGACCATACCTCACCATCGTACCTTATAATAATGTGAATGAATTTTAAGACAAAGTGTAGCCACATCCACTGGTGTAGGGATGCAGCAAGTACACAGCTGTGCTTGCTGTCACTGGTGCCGTGTCTGTTTTGTCTTTCTCTCAGATCCAAAGGTTTTGCTTCACAGCCAGAGGCCAGCGGCGCCACATTCCTGATTTCCAAGGCTCTGTTGGGCTGATGAGTCATCTCCCAGCCTTATTACAGGAGCAGCTCAGCCTCGCGCCACTCCGATCTGCACACACCTCATAATGGAGCGAGAGGCCTATGCACAGGACACAGAAAGGCGACACGTTGATTGCAAACAGTCCTTGAGGATCAAATGGAGATGTAATGGTTTTATTGTAGCAATCGAAACCAAATGTGTTCATCTTTGATTCACGTAGGGAACATTGGCGGTCGCTACATCAATGAAAACATTCAGATCCATAAAGGCACATAATTAGGACTATGGTTGGCTGAATAAATTCTCGGTCAATTAAACAGGCACACAATTGATTATTTGACTAAACGGAGAGTGCGTCAAAACAGCTGTGTTTATGTCCAATATTATCTCTGAGGAAGGCCACTGCCGGTTAGTTCATGGTAAATTATTTATGATTTCAGTGAAGTACTTAAAATATTGAACTAATGAGAAGGTTGATGAATCCCAGGTTTAATCCCCACCGAGCACCAACATATAAATCTTCATCTTAATTTTCTTTCTTTTACTGCTGTCCTATGAATAAATATAAATCAAGTGAACCTCCTTGATTGATTTATCATTTCATTATTTGAGAATCAGAAAACCTATAACCATAAGGAACTGAAACGTTTCACAGCTGACTGAGGCACTGCTCAGTCTCAAACTAAGATCATTTTTTTCAAGGCTTTGATTTAAAGCTTTAGTACATAACTTTCTGGTGGTGAGACATTCCCCTTTCATAGAGACATCTGTTAAAATATATATGTTTAAAGACTTATCATGGAAGATGAGTTCCAGACTTGAGGAACATGAGGCCATGCAGCAACTGGGATGTTTCCAGGTGTTCTTGTCACAGATGGAGGACAGTTTGTGCGTGTGTGTGTGTGTGAGCAGTTTACTGAACGAGTGGCCCTTGTTGACAGTAGTTATACGGTAAGGTGCATGTTATGGACTTAAACACAGGTGCCTGTGCCTTTTATCCATACTATTTTCTATGTAGAGACACAGTGAGCAGATCCAGAAACCCGTTGTGCCATTCATCTACAACCATCACATATTACACAGCTCCTTGTTGCAAGGATTTGATTTGATTCATTTATTTTCAGCTTATAAATAGGAACCCGGAGGAAACCTACGCAGACACAGGGAGAACATGCAAACTCCACTCGGAAAGGCCCTGGTCCAACCGGGATTCGAACCAGGACCTTCTTGCTGAGAGGCGAGAGTGCTATCCACTCAGCCACCATGCCGCCCTTACTCAAAGCTCAAAAAAGAGTGGGAAGAAGTCTAACTTATAAGCTCCCACCTCATATCTAAATTCACCTTGTACGGTTGCACATACCCGCACACACACATACAGACATAGCCATACATATGCATACATACACACATACATGTATACACACAAATATATACATATAGACACATACACAAACATAATGCATTGGTTTTATATAGCACTTTTCTGGACACTCAAAGACAATTCACATGTCGTTATTCATTCACTTCATACACAGTGGTGATAAACTACTGCTGTAGCCACATCTGCCCTGGGGTACACTGACAGAAGCAAGGCGACCAGTATGTGCCATCGGTCCCTCCAACCATGGTCCACCAACCATTCACACACACACATACACACACACACACACCAGACTCATTCTAGGCAATGTGGGTGAAGTGTCATGGCTAAGGACACAATGTCAGTTTGGAACTTTACAACCGCAGCCGCCCGTGGCACGTTTCCAGAGGTCTCCCATCACAGTACTAACCAGCCTTGCATGTATATACAGTATATAATAATAATAATAATACATCAAACTTGTATAGCGGTTTTTTGGACACTCCAACCGCTTCACATTGGAAAAGAATACAATAGAATGAAAAAGGGGTTTACGGAAAAGCTTGTTTGAAAAGATGGGTTTTGAGTACTGATTTAAAGTTTGGTAGTGAGTCAGAGTTTCTAATGGGCAGTGGGAGTGAGTTCCAGAGGGTAGGGGCGGCAATAGCAAAGGCTCTGTCCCCCAAGGTCCGGCGGTTTGTGCGGGTGATGGAAGTGAGGAGGTTGGAATCGGCTGAGCGAAGGCGGCGGGTGGGTTGGTGCTGTTGTAGGCGCTCAGTAAGGTAGGGCGGGGCCAGGTTATGGAGGGACTTGTAGGTGAGGAGAAGGAGCTTGGAATGGATGCGGTATTGAACGGGGAGCCAGTGGAGCTGCTGGACGACAGGGGGGATGTGTTCTCTGGACCGGGGTGTGGGTGAGGAGGCGGGCTGAAGAGTTCTGGGTGTATTGCAGTTTTTCGAGATGAGAGGTGGGAAGTCCGTAGAGAAGGCTTTTGCAGTAGTCGAGTTTGGAGGTGATGAATGCGTGGATTAGGATTTCGGCTGTTGACTGGGTAAGGGAGGGGTGGTGGCGGGCAATGTTGCGGAGGTGGAAGAAGGAGGTTTTGGTGATGTGTTTAATGTGTGTTTGGTATGAGAGGGTGGAGGGCATTATAATGCAGAGGTTGCGTACTGAGGGTGAGGGGGTGACAGTCAATAAGGAGGGTAAAGTTCTGGACAGAGGGCAGGAGAAATTTGGGGCTGATGATGAGGAGTTCTGTTTTGTTACTGTTGAGTTTTAATGTCGGAGATGCAATTATTGATGGTGGAGAGAATGACCGGGGTGATGGATTTGGTGGAGATGTGTTGAGTGTCGTCGGCATAACAGTGGAAATGGAGTCCATGGTGGCGGATGATCTGGGCGAGGGGAAGCATATAGATGGTGAAGAGGAGAGGGCCGAGCACGGAACCTTGGGGGACACCGTGGGTGACGGGGGAAGTGTGGGAGTTGCAATTGTTGACAGAGACGAAGTGGAGACGATCGGAGAGGTAAGAGGTGAACCAGAGGTGTGCTGTGCCAGAAATGCCAACGGATTGGAGACGGTGGAGGAGGATGGAATGGTCTATAGTGTCAAATGCACCGGAGAGGTCGAGGAGGATGGAAAAGGAACCAGAGTCTGCGGCAAGGAGGAGGTCATTCGTAACTTTAAGAAGTGCTGTTTCTGTGCTGTGGTGTGAACAGAATCCAGATTGAAATGTTACGAAGAGATGGAAGAAGTGGAGATGTTGGTGGAGTTGGGTGATTCCAGGATTTTTGACAGTAACGGGAGATTGGAGATGAGTCGAAAGTTGTCCAAGTTGTCAGGGTTGAGGCCTGGTTTTTTTCAGGAGGGGTGTGATGGAGGCTAGTTTGAGCGGGGAAGGGACAGAACCAGAGGTTAGGGAAGTGTTGATGATGCAGGTGATGAGAGGGATGAGAGTTAGTTGACAGGTTTTGAGGAAGGAAGATGGGATTGTGTAGAGCTGACAGTTGGAAAATTTCATGGTTGAGAGAAGTTTGGTGGTGTCAGAGGGAGAGAGGGGGGAGAAGGAAGGAAGGCTATGGACTGTGAGTGCAGTGGGTTCAAGTTCGGAGTAGGGAGAAGAGGAGGAAGTGGAGGCAAGTGAACAGTGTATGGTATGGATTTTGGTATGGTAGAATGACAGGTAGTTATTGCATTTGTCTGTAGTGAAAGTGGAGGTTATATTGTCCTTGGGTTTTGTCAGATTTGCAAAAGTTGAGAATAGGGTGCGGGGGTTGGAAGAATTTGAGTGGATGAGTTGTGAATAGTAGTTGGACCGGGCAGTTTTGAGAGCAGAGTTGTATGTGGTTGTGGCTTGTTTGTAGGCTTGTGCATGAACGAGGAGACCAGTTTTTATATGGAGCCTTTCAAGTTGTCTCTTTTTGTTTTTTGAGACTGTGGAGATCTGGGGTATACCAAGGGGCGGAGGTAGAGAAGGAGACTGAGGCAGTTTTCATGGGGGCAATTTGGTTGAGGCAGGAGGAGAGTGTGTGGTTATAGAAAGTGACTAGATCGGAGGCAGATGGATCTGAAGGGAGGGAAGAGCTGGATAGGGCATGGGATATAGAGGAGAGAGATATGGGACAAATGGACTTAAGATTTCGGAAAGTAATTGTTTGTGTCTGTTTGGTGGTGGGAGAGGGGGTAATTATGTCCAGGGTGATGGCCAGATGATCAGAAATGGTCAGGTCGGTGAGTGACAGGTTGTGTATGGTGAAGGAGGGGGTGGAACAGACCAGATCCAGGATGTGTCCATGGTTGTGTGTGGGTGAAGTGACGTGCTGGGTGAGGTTGAGGCAGTTTAAAATGTCCAAAAAGTCAGATGTAAATTTAACTGTAGGGGAGTCAATATGAATGTTGAAGTCACCAAGGAGGAGAACGGATGGAGAAATGGGGGACAGCTGAGTTACAAAATCAGTAAAATCTGAGAGAAATGATGAGCAGGTTTTAGGAGGGCGGTAGATGACTGCAGCAATGAGTGATTGGGAGCCGGGAAGTCTAAAGGCCAGGTGTTCGAATGAAGATACAGCCGGGATGGAGATGGGGCGGAGGGAGATGTTGCTGCGGTGGATGACTGCAATGCCACCTCCTTGCCGGTCTGGGCGCGGGTTATCGATGTAGGAATATCCAGGTGGGGTGGTCTGATTTAATGTGGTGTATTCCATGGGTTTGTGCCAGGTTTCAGTGAGACAAAGTATGTCCAGTTTATTGTCAATGATGAATTCACAGAGGAGCAGGCTTTTATTGCTGAGTGACCGTGTATTGAATAGTGCTGTTTTTAGAGGCTTTTGTTGTGAAGTTTGTGTGGCAGAAATTGGGACAGACAGGAGGTTTGATGTAGTCACGTGATGAGTGCTCGGATGACGTATGCGGATGTTGTTGGAACCAAGCCGGTGTGAGCTGCGCATGGATCTGCAGGCGGACCAGACAGAGGGAATATTGCTTTTGCCTGTGAAATTGAAGACAAAATTGCGACGGGACCCTCGGTGGATGTAGGGGCGACGGCGGACAAGACAGTGTTGTTGCAGAGTTGAGGTGATGTCCAGTGAAGGAGGTGCGCGGTGGTTGAGTCTGATGAGCTGTGAGGACGTGTAACGAAGCGCCATGGACGGAGCCGGTGTTGACAGGAGCCGCAGAGAGGCTAGCAGGAAAGCCACGAACAGTAGCCGCATAGCTGGCTGGCTGATCCGGGGTGCAGGCCGGCCAGTAACCGGGTTGTAATCCACTGATTGAGAAGAGCACAGCGTGGCTTGGCCGGAGGCAGCCCCGGGAGCAGGCGTGATGGTGGGCACAGCAGGGACACACCGTGACAGGCTGTGACAGGTGGCAGACGCGGGCAATCAGTCAAGGAAACAGTCCAGGCGCCGAGGCAACATCAGACACCACCGACACCATGCAAAAATCGGTACGTTAAACCGCTTACTTTTAGCAAAAACAAACTTTTACGTCCGGAGTGAGAAGCGGCAGCAAAAACGCGCCCGCGTCCTCTCGCATCCGGGTAGTAGCCCCCTCCTGTCCCACACCTCCTCCACAGAGTCCAGGGGCCTCCTGTCCCTCACCTCCTCCACAGAGTCCAGGGGCCTCCTGTCCCTCACCTCCTCCACAGAGTCCAGGGAGCAGCCCAGAGTGGAGCTGGCCCTCCTGACCAACTTGTTTTAGTCTGTTTCTGTCTGGCTCTGTGCTGCCCGAGGCCCAGCACACGGCAGCGTAGTATATGGCAGAGGCTACCACAGAGTCATAAGAAATGATGTTTAGCAGCGTGTGGGAAAGTGGTTTTCTCCTGAAGTCGATGATCATCTCCTTGGTCTTACTGGTGTTCAAGCACAAGTGGTTGCGCTCACACCAGTCGACAAAGTCCTTGATAACCGACCGATATTCCAGTTCGTTCCCCTCAGACACACAGCCCACGATGGCGGAGTCGTCGGAGAACTTCTGCAGGTGACGGCTGTGTGTGTCGTGTGTGAAGTCTGAGGTGTAGATGGTGAAGAGAAACGGTGAGAGGACAGTGCCCTGAGGGGCCCCAGTGCTGCAGACGACCACCTCAGACCCACAGCCGCACGTACTGTGGTCGGTCTGAGAGGTAGTCGATGGTCCATGCAGTGAGGCTACTGTCCACTCCTGCGACCTCCATCTTCCCCTGCAGCAGTACCGGCCTGATGGTGTTGAAAGCACTGGAGAAGTCGAAGAACATGACCCTCACAGCGCTCCCGGCGGGCTCCAGGTGGGAGAGCGTCCGCTGCAGGAAGTAGATGACGGCGTCCTCTACTCCGATGTTGGGCCTGTAGGCGAACTGCAGCGGGTCCAGGGTGGGGCTGACCACGGAGCGGAGATGGGTGAGGATGAGCCGCTCCATGGTCTTCATCAGGTGGGAGGTCAGTGCGATGTGATGTGAAAGATCATTTCATCATAGGTGTTGTAGCCACAGGGAAGGTGGTTTTGGAATGTTGTCCTACTGATAAAATCATAGCTGATCTTTTGACAAAAGCTAAAAGGTTTTACAAAGAAAATGTTTGTTCTAACACCCCCACAGCGAGTGGGGTTGTTAGATAATATTATATTATATTGCTCTTACTCCCTGTCTAAACAGAAGCTCTTATTTTGAAGGCGCTACAGGATGTAGTCATGTTGTTCTGTCGCTAACTTCCTCTATGGCTCATGCTCCCTGTGCTGCCAAGCTGTTCAACAATAAATATTCCCAGACAAGAGGCTAAAGATACCAACGTGAGAGCATCGTTTATTCTCCACTAGCATCTGTCCTTAACAACGATCTTTGATCTTTGTGCTTCATAAAGTCAGCAGCTGATTGGAGCAGAGGGAACATCTGCATGATCCCCGTGTAGAGCTCCTTCTACCACCGCAGCTGCTCCTGCTCCGTGCGATCGGTGAGTGTGTGTTATGCTAGTGCTGTTAGCGTTAGCATTAGCCACAGGCCGCTAGCATCTTTTACTGTCTGTTCAATGGACATTCATTCATCTGTTTACTTTAACCCTAATATTAACAGAGTTCTTCAAACACGTTCACCTCCTGTTTATATTGTTACCTTTTATTCTTGAATATTTGTCTTTTTATTGTATAAATAACTGTGTAGCACCGAGTCCAAGACGAAGTGTCTCTCGAGGACAAGAAATATGGATAATTAAAACAAATGTGTAAATATGAAGTGTGTGTCATAGAAGAGCAGACAGAAGCTCAGTGCCTTCAGAACATCCAGGCCGTCAGCGCAGTGGTCATTACACCTCAGACTTTAAAAACACACACAATCTGTTTGAGTGAATTTGGCACAAGCTGTAGTTTATATAAATGAGAAATGTTGTTTTGTCTCATTGAAACATGGGGAATTATGTATAAATCCATGTAATAAAAAGTAATTTATAAAAAGTGTAGTTTTATTCCAATGAAGTAAGTAAGTAATCTTTATTTATATACCACCTTTCACAGACCAGAGTCACAAAGAGGTTTACAATTGTTACTTTTGGGCATTATTCTCTCACTCCACACAGAGATGTGAGCGGGGCCAGTACAGGAGGCACATGCCAGACCTATTGTACAGGTTTTTAGTGGTAGGGGAAACCGGAGTACCCGGAGGAAACCTACACAAACACAGGGAGCACATGCAAACTCTACTCAGAAAGGCCCTGGTCCGACCGGGATTCGAACCCAGGCTGAGAAAACCTGTTCCTGCTCTTGTGTTTTAACACATGTTCGTCCTGTAACAGTTTCATGCTCATTATTAGTCTAATTATTGCTCTTTCATACAACCCGAACGTCCATTTCCTGGTTTGTGATAGAGATCACATACAGCATTAATTCCACATGTGATATACTTTTCTAAATAAACATTTCTTATGGCTGTAGTCTATGAGAATAGTGTGTGCTTATACAAATTTCCCACAAGGCATGTGTTGTTTTGTCTCCAATGTTTGCAGGCACCTGCGCTATCTTTGTCCTTCACATTCCACCACCCACACATGGGCTACTCAAGGCCGACACTGGACTCTATCTAACTCAGACTCATAACCCAGAACACCAGTTACAGTCCCCCCCCCCCCCTTCTACATGTCTGCCTCCCTCTCTTTTCAGTCTATGGTGGTCTTCCCCTCCACCTCCCCCACCCACACTCCCCTCTGACGCGCTACAGTGCCTTGCGAAAGTAACCTTTCAACATTTCGCCACATTTCAGGCTTCAAAGAAAAAGATTAAAATTTTAATTTTTTGTCATGACTCAACAACAAGTGGGACACAATCGTGAAGTGGAACGAAATGTATTGGATAATTTAAACTTTTTTAACAAATAAAAAACTGAAAAGTGGGGCGTGCAATATTATTCGGCCCCTTTACTTTCAGTGCAGCAAACTCAGTCCAGAAGTTCAGTGAGGATCTTTGAATGATCCAATGTTGTCCTAAATGACTGATGATGATAAATAGAATGCACCTGTGTCTAATCAAGTCTCCGTATAAATGCACCTGCTCTTTGATAGTCTCAGGGTTCTGTTTAAAGCGCAGAGAGAACCATGAAGACAAAGGAACACACAAGGCAGATCCGAGATACAGAATTCCAGTCTCTCGATGTGCAAAACTGATAGAGACATACCCCAAGCGACTTGCAGCTGTAATTGCAGCAAAAGGTGGCGCTACAAAGTATTAGCGCAAGGGGGCCGAATAATATTGCACGCCCCACTTTTCAGTTTTTATTTGTTAAAAAAGTTTAAATAATCCAATAAATTTCGTTCCACTTCACGATTGTGTCCCACTTGTTGTTGATTCTTGACAAAAAATTAAAATGTTATCTTTATGTTTGAAGCCTGAAATGTGGCAAAATGTTGAAAGGTTCAAGGGGGCCGAATACTTTCGCAAGGCACTGTACATTGGACAAGGCTGAATCTGATCTGAGTTCTTTTCAGGCGCTGAGTTCTTTTCTGTACAATTGGTGCACAAATGGTGGGTTGGCATTAAATGGAGTCATAGTCACATTGGAAACGGCACCTGAATTAGTGGGGTGCAGCAGTGCACTTTGGGTATGTGATGCAGTACCTGCTGTATCCAGCAGAGGGAGAGCTGGCGCAGCAGGAGTAGCTGAGGGTACACTCTTTAATTCATCAATGCGGTCAGTAACTATGAGCAACAACGATAATCCCTTCATCCTCGAGCGAGACAACATCTTCTCTCCAGATTCTGTATGATAGTCCTCATTGCACGAGGTAAGGTCTTGTCCTCTTCACTCACAGATGCTCCCAAGATTGAACAAAGATCATATAAATCCGCAGCAGACAAAGTCATTAGATTTTCCTCAATCCGTCCCATTGCATTCTCCCAACTCTCCGACATCTTCCGACTTGTAGTAGACATAATTTGTAAATGTTTTTACCGTAGCGTACAGGTAAACAGGCTTCAGTCTCAGTGAGTGCGCTGATGCGCTCTGGCCTGCAGCTGGTGGCTTGTAGCGTAAACTCCCAACTCTGCTCTTTTCCACAACAGCGTCGTTCCCATGCGATCTCCAACCGAGCAGAAACACCAAGATTCCGTGTTGCACTCTTAAATGACCAGAACAATACAAAATAGTCCGTTTACAACGTTTATTGTCCACGGTTCGAGTCACGGTAAAGGCACGCAGGGTGACAACATCATGATCGCACCCGTCAACACTCACTAGTTCGCAGGTTGGGCGTGGTTGACCTACATTTGCAGTCTAGCCCCCTCAATTGATAAATACGTGCATTTATTAATATCAATCAATCAATCAAAGTTTATTTGTAGAGCGCCTTTCATACACAGGCAACACAAAGCGCTTCACAGTCCACATCACAAATCATCACATAAAACAAACACCAGAAATCACAATTAAAACATTAAAATCACACAAAAGATTAAAACACAATTAAAACATTAAAATCACACAAAAGAATAAAACCATTAAAACTTTCAAAATTACACAAGAAATTTAAAAAAAATAATAAATGACAGCAGTGCATTAAAAATGGAGATAAAATCCTTCAGTTATATGCACAGGCAAACAGAACAGTCTTTAACCTGGATTTGAACATTGACAGAGTAGACGCCTCCCTCACATTTTCAGGGAGATTGTTCCAGATCTTAGCTGCATGGATCTGAAACGCAGCCTCCCCATGTTTGGTTCTCACTCTGGGCACCAGCAGGACGGCCAGTCCCTGTGCTC